GTATTCCCGTCTTCATTAGCCCTGTCAGAGCAGAACAGTAGGACGTTAAACACAATTTCATTTCATTCAATTTTCCTACTTTTCTGCACCAATCGGGCTATTGAAGATAGGCATATGCTACGCGGAGTGCTATGGCGGAAATTTTCAATGGACCGTGGCATTTCTTAATCGAAATTCAACTGTGAAGGATTCTTTTAAGTGCACGCCAATATGTACACAGGAGCATGTTTTTTGTCCCATCTACACAACTAGACACTGTACTTTGCTAGACCCTTTGTCTTGCACTACAGATAGGGGGAAACCACGCTGCAAAATCCCGGGGAACTTTCTTGACCAACACCAGGATCAGTTAATAATCATACTATGGCCGATAACCCGACATCACGACATCACGACATTTTAACCTGACAATACGACATTTTTACCCGACATCACGACATTTTTACGCGACAATATGGTTGTTTATTAGATAACATCAGATTTGTTTAAACTGCGAGTTATAAATAGACAATTTTTCCCTTAGTTTTTTTCTCCTCTCTTCCTGCATTTTTCGGTTGACTTTTTGGTCTAGAATTGGAGAAAATGGTTCAAATTTGCAATTTCATAGCAGTTTTGAGTAATACTAATGATATTACAGCGGAGGGATAGGGGATGTAAAGTGTCTTTCTGCAGAGCAATCATTGTGTCGGAAGTGAGATTTTCACCCCAGTCAACTTCAAATCCCGGTAGCAAAAAATCTAAACGGTCAACCCCTACAAATTTATGATGAGAATATTGCCAAATGTGGTCCCCATTGTGCCTATAAAGATTGGAACCAACGGAATGTTGAGCAAACAGCTACAGCCATTTAACATTGATGTCAATGGGCAAATAATTGCTAGTCTGAGTCCATCTTATCTTAGTCTTACAACTAGAGTTATCTTTCCCTGGGATCGTTTATTTTTAAATACCGTATTTTAATGACATGCAGATATAGTCACGTGATCAGTTTATTTCCGTAATATGCATAGAGAAAATCTCGAGTAGAAAATCTGAAGTTGAAAGTCGAATGTCAAAAGTTGATTATTGAAAGTAGAAATTCTGTTGTTGAAAGTAGAATATTTACGACTTAAAGTTGAAAAGGTGGACGTATTAGGTTGAAAAGCACGAGCGGTATATATGTTTCCCACAAGAAAATGTCCATTTTGGATAAGAATTTTCTCTTTTGATTTTTACTTTCTACTGCAGATCGCATTTTGAACCTGATACCCCGCCATACCAGTGTGCTATGAGGGAAATTTTGCCCGGGCAGCGGCGCTACGGCCTACTCTTATATCGAATTCCAACTGCCAAGGGTTCTTTTACGTGCACGCCAATATGTACACGGGACCTTGTCAGGCCGTCCGTCCTGCATCACTGACCAGGGGAAACCACGCCGGAAAATCTGGATGAACTTTCTCGGCCAATGCAGGGATCGCAACCCGACCTCCAGGCTAGCGAGACAGCGTCTTACCCACTTAGCCACGTGATCCCCAATATACTGGGTGAAATACACGGACAGTCCAAATGGAAAGGCAGTCGTTTGCGCCTGCTTAGTCTATTCTACACGGGTTTTTTTTTTTTGTTTTGGTTTTTTTTTTTGGTCGTTTCTGAATCAGCCATTTTGAATTACTTCAACATTGTCCTCCGGGTTTGTTCATTACAAATGGTGTTCGAAATCATTATGATATCATTTGCTAGCAAAAACCAGACTCGTTTACAAAACAAACTGATACTTGCATAAAAAAAAACATTAGTAAACAATTTAAAGAATATACATAGTTAAATGGCCAATCCCGATACTTTTTTGAAGAAACTGCTTAATTTTGTGTTAAAATCCATTAAAATCTCCTACCTACCTAAGGGTCTAGAAACTAACATAATATTTGTGATGCTTTTTCAAACGACTTAAACTCATCAGTCGTCATCTGGAAATCGAGTCCGGTGTCCCAAACTGTATTATACGGTGTCTGGATAAAACCAGACTTTTATTTTATAAAAAATAATGTGTCGGTGAAATTTACCTTTCGTTATCAAGTACATCACATGGGTCATTCACTGTATAGAGACCTCTCAAGGAACGGGAATCAATTATCAGGTCACCCAGCGAAAAAGATGTCCCGAAATTTTGAAAGGTTTCGTGCCTGGATAAGCAGTTTTGACGTTCACGTCCAAACGACTCAATATTTTGAGCTGACTTTTTGAGACAAGGAAAAAACCCATTTCGCTTTATATTGACGCTTAAATTCCATACGTACTCGGACTTTTATTTTTGAAACTCAAATCGGGATAGTCCCTTTAATATGGACGACGAAACAGCTCTTTATTCGGCGTTCTTATTTCTTAGTTCTTATTTCTTAGTTCTTTATTTGTTGTCGTATTCCGACATTTTTACACTAAAATTACCATTTGTATCTTAAAATCAATATTGGCTTCGCAAATCAGACATTTGTCATATCAGATTTGTTTAATTTAATTTTAGTTATACAAAGATCAAATTTATTTTTAGAAATCAAAACAAAAAATTAGCCTACATTTACATTTCATTAGAGACATACAACAAAAAACAAATCTGGAACAACAAATTTCCAAATACAAATGTTAAAAAAAATTTCTCGAAACTCATCGAACCGGAATATTATGACGACATCAACCTGACATGCAATAAGTCACCATACAATAATGGGGAATCGAGTAAGAATATATAGGCCAACAATAAGCAAAATCGCTTGCCGGCCGTGACTGTAGTGAAACCACGCAGGTAGTATGCCCCTAAAATAAAGATTGCGTCAGCCGAGTCATATGGATGGCGAGCATTCGTCATTATTGTCCCCTATTTATGCAATAGCCCTTCCTCTCATTCACCAGTCCTACGGTGTACCCTAACGTAGTTAAATTTTATTTAAATGTTTTAATAACAACCACTTGGGATTCTGTTCTGGCCTTTTGTTGACTGTTACAATTGGTTGTTTCTGAATTGGTTTGGGTAGTCTTTGAAGTATTTAATAGAAATTTACTAGACTGTTTTATACAGTATAGTTACAGACCAAATCAAAGACAATTCAGGTTTACAGAATTTAAACAGTAAATTAACAGGATCAGCCTCTTATAGATGTATGCATTGTAAAATGTGTAGGGGCTATGTTTCTAAATGTTGGTGTATTAATGTGTATATCTGAAACATTAAACTGGTTCTAAACACTCCAGGCAATGCTTCGGCTTAAAATGGTTATTAATTTCACCAAACCATTTTACACCAAACTGGTTCTAAACACTCCAGGCAATGCTTTGGCTGAAAATGGTTATTAATTTCAAATTAATAAATTTTACACCAGGCACTATTGTAGCTTCACGGGTTTAAATCAGTTGAATTGTACCCTGTGCAATATTGCAAGTGCTTAATAACAATTTCAAATAAATTAGTTTTACACTAGACAATATTACAACTTTAAGGTGTTTAATAATTTCGATCCATTTCATTTGTCTGCTGGGTAATATTACAGCTTTAACTATTTAATAATTTAAATTATTTTCACATAACGTATTATTTCAGATTTATAATAACAATTACACAAGACAAACCTACGGACATCACACACTATACAGACACCACAAACAACAAACGCATATATCAGATCTAGTGCCAGCGTGGTTTCCCCTTGTCAGTGAAGCAGGACGGAGGGCCTAACACGGACAGCTGTCTAGTCGTTCGGATGGGACGAAAAACCGAGGTCCCGTGTACGCATTGGCGTGCACGTAAAAGATCCCTGGCAGTTGGAATTCGATATAAGAGTAGGCCGTAGTGCCGCTGCCCGGGCAAAATTTCCCTCATTGCACACTGTATGGCGTATGCCCGTCTTCATTAGCCCAGTTTAGGAGCAGAACAGTAGGACGTTAAATCCCATTTCATTTCATTTCATTTCAGATCTAGTGAAAGGGACCTCATGCTAGCTGTAATGGTCCACTATGCTGTCATGTTCCTGAAGCACCACTGTCCCGGCAAAAACCGGGATCGAATCCGCGACCTCCAGGCTAGCGAGCCAGTGTCTCACTCACTGGGCCACCTTGGCTCATGCAACGACGATGTATTAAATATAAAAGAAAAGGTAAAATATAAAAACAAACAAGATTAAAGAATAAACAACGGGATTAAGTAGAAAATACATAAAAAAAACAAGTTCAATTGGTTGTTTAACATCAAAACATTTAAACATACATTATGCAAGAGTTAAATCTGCCAATTGCAGGTCTTTCTTTGGGCCTGAAATGTTATCTAAATTATTAATTATACATTAATGAACTTATCCAGACCATAATCAACCCTCGATGGTATTGCTAGCCTGCGATATTTATTGGGTTATTATCCCATTTGCTGTTCGACTTCCATTCATAATTTAATCATGACATGTATGATCGAGACTATGTTTTTTTATCGTACATACTTTAGTAATGATGATCGAGGCTAGGCCGAAATTTCAATCGCTTAATTCTCGGTTCATAGTGGATCAATTTGACTGAAATTTTCAGCAAATTGCCTTTACATTATCTAGTTTTTAACTGTTATAGTGAGAACTGCCAGCTCTTTATCTAATCTCCCATAATGTATCTTCAACTAAAATTCAAACAAATAAAGTATTTAGTTACGTTTAAAATAGGACTGGCGAATAATGAGGGGTGGGGGGCTATTCCATAATTAGGGTACAATAATAGAGAAAGCTCGCCACTCATATCACTAGACTAACGCGATTTTTATTTTAGGGGAGTTCCTTTACAGGGGAGGGGCCAGGGTCACGTATATCGTCATATAGAAAAACGGCAGACCACCACTACTACACACCGCACGTGCCAGTATTGCGTATCGTAAAATTAAAGTAATTTAATATTATTAGTCACCTTAAAGTTGTAATATTGCCCAGAATGTAATTCAAGTAATTTAAAAATTAATTAATTCCTTTAAGCAATAATATTGTTTAGAGTGAATATAGATATTGAACACCTTACACTGCAATAATCGCCTGTTGCACATAACGTCACTTTAGTGTTTTAGGTATAAAAGTATCACAAAGGGAATAGAAGATATTGACAAAAACTGGAGGGATTAAGGTAAGGTACTTTAACTGTAACAGGATTTTCCAACGTGGTTGTCCCTTGTCAGTGGTGCAGGACTGAGGGCCTGACACGGACAGCTGTCTAGTCTTTCGGGTGGGACGACAAACCGAGGTCCCGTGTATACATTGGCGTGCACGTAAAAGATCCTTTGGCAGTTGAAATTCAAAATAAGTGTAGGTCATAGTGCCGCTGCCCGGGCAAAATTTCTCTCATAGAAACCTGAATGGCGTATGCCCTTCTTCATTAGCCCAGTCGGTGCAGAACAGTAGGTCGTTAAACCCCATTTTATTTTATAATCGGATCAGATAGAGAGAGAGATGGGGTTTAACGTAACGTCCACACGACACAAACCACGCCACTTCGGGACTAACAGTAGGCCGTTAAACCACATTTCATTTTAACTGTAAAGACCATAGTATGGAGAATCGATCCTACAGTATTTAGTAACTGGAATAGTTTGTAAGAAGTCCTGACTGATGGCACGTAGAAACTGTACATTTGTTTACTATCTATGGAAATATTTGCGGAAAACAAACTGGCGACGGGCTTTTAACATAGCGAACAGCATGGAACGATGAAATTTGTCACAACGTTGTAGACTTACTGAATTTTATTATAATGTTATAGTGTTCAAAGTTTGGATACTTAGATTTACCTCTATAGGAATTACCCGTAAACTACAATATTGTCAAAAATTCCGTTCAGTATTTACAAAGACACGTGGAAGTAAAAAAAATTTCATCGATCAATGTTCTTCGCTATGTAATCAGCCCGCCGCCATTTTGTTTTTTCTGAAAAAATATTAGGCCTGTTTTAAAACCGATTGAGTCCAAGTCGGGTGATTACTCTATTTCGAGCGAAGACATTAGCCTTTGAAGGTTTGACAAGACGTGTGCAATAATTTCAACCACCGTACTGGTTGTTCGAAGCTAAGTCTCGCTCCTCCATTTTTAGCTTAAATTAAAATATGGCTGAACTGTGCTAATCTATTTAATATCGAAGAAATCCGATGCCATCGAGAGTTGATTATGGCCTGGATAAGTTAATTAATGTCTAATTAATAATTTAGAAAACATTTCAGGCCTAAAAAAAGACCTGCAGTAGGCAGATTTAGCTCTTGCATAATTTATGTTTAAGAAGGTGGAAATTAAAAAAAAATAATAATATTTTAGCGAAATTATAATACAACCGAAATGTAAATGTAGATGGTCTCGTGTACATATTTGCGTGCACGTAAAAGAACCCTTGGCACCTGAAATTCGATATAAGCTACAGGTTTTAGCACATTGCATGGCATATTCCCATCTTCATTAGAAATGAAATGAAATGAAATGGGTTTAACGTCCTACTGTTCTGCTCCTATACTGGGCTAATGAAGACGGGCATACGCCATACAGTGTGCTATGAGGGAAATTTTGCCAGGGCAGCGGCACTATCGCCTACTCTTATATCGAATTCCAACTGCCAAGGGATCTTTTACGTGCATTCCAATGTATACACGGGACCTCCGTCCTGCATCACTGACAAGGGGGAACCACGCCGGAAAATCGGGATGAACTTTCTCCGTAAATGCAGGAATCGAACACCCGACCTCCTGGCTAGCGAGCCAGCGCCTTTACCCACTTAGCCACGTGATCCCCTCATCTTCATTAGCCTAGCCTGTACAGACATATAGAATGTTAAACATTCCATTAAATTCTTATTTTAAAATAAATAAAATAAATTACCCGCCTTAAAGGGTTCAGACATTGTTTGCTTGCCTGCACGTCCTTGGTGGCGACCGTAGAAGGTCTGATTGAAATGATATCGTGGTCTTTACATAAGAAACATAGACTTGGCAATCTGATGTCTAGGACGTCAAGATCGATCCAGGCCAAGGTGTTCAATATTTTAACACCGTGTTTAAAACACATTTTCGTCTTCATCTAGTCGTGACGTTGGTTTTTTTTTTAGGGTTGGGGGTGTCTCATAAATGCATATTCCTGAAGCAATGGCCCGAGAAATCCCTCTCTGTGGGATTAGCTCTAATCAAACGGAACACTGCGAGGAGTATGCACAAATGAGGCATAAGGCCTAAATTTTATTTTATTTACAGATGGCGAAAATACCTATTGCGATTTTAATGATTATGCTGATGTTAAGCATCATTTCTCACGACATAGTCTATGGGACTGCCGTTAACAGACGTGGTGGCTATGGTGCTTGGAAGAAACGGGATATGGTAGAGAACATTGATGACTTGGCAGAAGTCGAACGATTTGTACCTGAACGAAAGACTGCTGATTCTTAGCGTTAAAAGATACTAAGACTTAGCTCAAGAGTACAACAATTGAAAAAAAACCACACCAACTTTTTCGTTAGTTTAGCGAAATTGTTTCAGAAAGATGTTTTATTCGAGGTTTCAGAACATTTCCGCCGTATACGTAGATATTTTCCTACGAACCAGTAAATCTGATTTCATTCACTCACCTGTGCTTTATTCAAAGTACGGCAAGGTCTTCATTGCGTTCGCAACGGACTTTTCAACATACTATAATTATGGACACAGCTCATCAAATATTCCTACGCCGTCACCCACGAATGTAGGGCGAAAGTTATTTTTAGTCTTTCTCTCCCTTTCCCGTAAAGGGACAATAACACTCTTGCTTAAAGGGACAATAACACTCTTGCTGGCTTGAAAGCTCCAGAAAATATATAATATCTCTATCTAAGTACTAGATGTTTAAGTGTCCTACCTGTTGTGTAAATTATCCATTACATCCAATTTTACTTGTCCAGAGGGTTCGAAAATATTTTTAAATCGAAGTTTCATTTGAAAAGGTTTACGTTAGACGTTTCAAACCATTATGTTGAATTTTTCAAAATTTTTAAATAAGGTGTGTTAAGATGAAATTTGTATCATCATTTTTTTTTATTATTATTCTAAAATAGTACAATTTGTTGACCAGAATAACGATTGTGACATATTATTCAGTTACAAGGGTTGTATTGAGCCTTTAAGTGATCTGTGGTAATATATTATCAACATACTATTCTGTGTTCTACATGGACTCAGACAAGCAATTATTTGCCCATTGACTTCAATGTTAAATGGCTGTAACATCACAGACTGTAGCTCTTTGCTCAACATTCCGTTGGTTCCAATCTTTATATAGGCACAATGGGGACCACATTTGACAATTTCCTCATCATAATTTTGTAGGGGGTTGACCGTTTAGATTTTTTGCTACGGGGATTTGAAGTTGACTGGGGTGAAAATCTCACTTCCGACACAATGATTGCTCTGCAGAAAGACACTTTACACCCCCTATCCCTCCGCTGTAATATCATCAGTATTACCCACAACTGATATGAAATTGCAAATTTGATCCCTTTTCTCCAATTCTAGACCAAAAAGTCAACCAAAAATGCACTAGGGGAGAAAAAAATTAAGGGAAAAATTGTCTATTTATAACTCGCAGTACATTTGTGAAATATGGGGAAATAATTACTAGTCTTAGTCCACATCGTCCTATTAGAGAGAGAGAGAGAAATGGGGTTTAACGTCCACTCAACACAAACTAAGTCATTTCGGGACTAAGATATGGTTTTAATTTTATTTCAATAATTCGCTTGCGCGTAGGGGTCTTTAGCAGTGGGAGGAAACCGGGGGACCCGGAGAAAACCCACGAGGTTGAACAGGCGACCCTACTCCTTGTCACGTACAACCGGGGATTCGAAACCACGCCAGTTGACTCAATGACAGGCTTTATGATACAGCGCGCACGTGCTAACCATTCGGCCATCCAACCCCCCTGTCCTATTAGAGACTCAACTCTCATATATCTTGGTCAATATATAAATAGGTCCATTAGTAAATATATGAGACATAAGACATATATCACAATACGGAAGTAAATGTGGTTCGAGTTATTAAACATGCAACAGCTAATTCTTCCAATTACAGGTCTATTTTAAAGACTGTCACGTCACAGACAACTGTTGAGTTGTTGACTTTGAAGACTGTCACGCCACAGCCAGTAATCAGCTGTCTAGTTTAAAGACTGTCATGTTCGAGCTAGTTGTTGAGTTTATAGCCCCCTGTCCTGCACCACTGACAAGGAGAAACCACGCTGGATCCGGGATGACTATGCAATGTATCTAAAAGAAATAATGCTGAAATTGTGCCCTGTAACCAGCAACATCTGTGACGATAAACCTTTCTTTTTAACAGTTTTAAAAAATTGTCATAAATAATTTTAGGACCGTAACTAGCTCAGAGCAACCAGGGGGGGGGGGGGTGAGAAGTGTTCTCAGGGGTGCTGTAAAATTGACGGACAATGTATTATCAATTTTTTTATGGTCGAAACTTATTTCACGGGGGGGGGGCGAAATTTTTTTCAGGGGGGGGGGGGGCATGTGATCGGCATTGATCTTTAAAATAACTAATCCATGAGATTTATTCATGTGATTGACATTTAACTTTAAAATCAACGTTTTCTCACGGGCATGACGCACAATGCATACAATAAACAATAAACATATCATCAAATCAAGGGATTAGATCGAGGTGGGGGGATTTAAGCGTTCCTGCACTGTCTAGTCCCTGTCACATTCTGATACGGGTTTCACGCAAAATGAAAACCAAACTTACAACACGGGAAACAATCCAAATGAAATGAAATGAAATGGGGTTTAACGTCCTACTGTTCTGCTCCTATACTGGGCTAATGAAGACGGGCATACGCCATACAGTGTGCTATGAGGGAAATTTTGCCCAGGCAGCGGCACTATCGCCTACTCTTATATCGAATTCCAACTGCCAAGGGATCTTTTACGTGCATTCCAATATATACATGGGACCTCGGTTTTTCGTCTCATCCGAAGGACTAGACAGCTGTCCTTGTCAGGCCCTCAGTTCTGCACCACTGACAAGAGGAAACCAGAGACAATCCAAGAAAAGGCGTATAATTCACGTGGAGGCATCGGTACCTACAAATTGTAGTTCGTCTATTTATAGTAAGTCTCTCCCTGTCTCTTTTCTCCCCTTTTGCATGCCCATTTTTGTTGATGTTTTGGTCTAGAATGGACGAAGAGGGTTTGAACTAACATTTTCTGTCAGGTTTTGGTGAATATTCATGATTTTGAGGCGGAAGGATAACAGAGTTATGAGGTTGGTTACGGTAACTAGATACATGTTCTTAGTATGCTTCTTCAAGTTTGTGTATCTCAAAATTTTGGTGGTCAACCTCATACAAATTTTAGTGGAAAGACATGACCATTTGTTCCTCTGTCTGCAGGTAGGCAAAGAGGCCAAAATTAACATTGAAGTCAATGGTGAAATTAATCGTGGTCTGCCTCCACCAATGTTGTTGAAGAAAACGTTTTACAACTATGGATTAAAAATAGGACAAGAGTCCAAAACGATGACTTTGATAGCAATGGATAACGTTTAAAAGGTGCTAATTAGCTCTATTCTGTGGCACCTTTGAATTTCTTATTGTAATTTCTTATTAATTATGTTGGGTGAAATAGTTGGACGGTCCAAACTGAAAGACAGCCGTGTAATACTAGGGGTTATTTTAGTTATATAAAAGGTGCTCTGTTTAATATATTGAAGTGCTTAACAGGGGCGGATTGGGGCCAGGAACCGGCCCAGGCTCCCGTGTCGGAGCGGCCCCTTTTTCCGACCGCGGAGCCCGGACGGGGGTCCTAGGGCTCTCCACCTGGAAAATTTTGAAAAATAATCCCCAAATATGCGGTTTGGTGGCATATCTGATTATAATCTCTGTCAAATAACATATCTCATAAATCGATTAATTTAGGCCAAAACCCCGCCCTGCAAGTAATTTACAACCATCAACCTGTGAAATTATCATATCGTCATATTATGCAGGATTCCGAATTCCGGCCCACACCCAGCACACCCGGCCCAGAAAGTCTATTATACCAGCCCATTCCAGACTCCAGTGATGGCGTGGCGGCCCGTTAAAGCCACCGGCCACATACAACATGATCATCATCGCTCCATGGCCGGTCCAATACCCCCTCCGCCCCATATAATGTTCAGCAGAAAAGGTGTTTTTTAGACGAATTGGACAAAATTATTTTTTTCATTTTTTCCGACCGGCCCTTCGGGCAATCCTCCCCTAGTGCTTAAACAAATGGTGACAACGAGAAATAGGCTTAGTAGGTATTTTGCAAGATTCAACTTACAGACAGTTCCTTTCACCATCAACTGCTGAAAGTAGGGTACTATCGTCCAGTCATCTCGTGCACAGATAATCCAATTAAATAGAATAATGTTGATGTAAAACGGTGCCCATACGAAACACTTAACCAAAAATGGTATTTGCCCCGCCCTAATAGCTGACAGATCTATACTTTCTATATAAGAAAGAGCGGGGTTAAATGTCCTTTCAGACACCATTCGGAGTTCCTAGGGGAACATCATACCCACAGCCTCCTCGGCTCACAGACCGAGGGGGTTTTCATGTAGACTTAGAGAGAGAGAGAGAAATGGGGTTTAACGTCCACTCGACACAAACTAGGTCATTTCGGGACTAGCACATGGTTTAGTTTTATTTCAATAATTCGCTTGCGCGTAGGGGTCTTTAGCAGTGGGAGGAAACCGGGGGACCCGGAGAAAACCCACGAGGCTGGACAGGATGTAGACTTAGAAAGGAAAGCGTGATGCCGCAAAACCCAAGCTAGGGATAGAGAACCTATATTAAGCTTATATTTAAACATGCAAGAGTCTAATCTGTCTATTGCAGGTCTTTCTTTAGGCCTGAAATGTTATATAAATTATTAATTAGACATTAATTAACCTATCCAGACCATAATCAACTCTAGATGGCATCGCTAGCCTTCGATCTTTAGTGGATTGTGAGCCGATTTACTGCATAACTTTCCTTCACGATTTAACGATTAAATGGATAATCGAGATTATGCTGTTTATTGTACTGACTTTAGTAATGATGATCGAGGCTAGGCGGAAATTTCAATCGCTTAGTTCGCGGTTCATAGTGGATCAATTTGAATGAAATTTTCAGCAAATTGCCTTTACATTATCTAGTTTTTAACTATTATAGTGCGAACTGCCAACTCGTTATCGAATCTCCCATAATGTATCTTTAATGCCATAGCAGTGTGTGTAGTTTCCTGTATATAACCATTGTATTATGGATGTTATAAAAACATAGTTAAACTAACAAAGTATTCCAGATTTCAATTGATCCTTGAAGTCAAACTTAGTTCCTAAATGACTGTAGTGTCACAACCGTTTGCGCCTGCTTAGTCCATTCTACACGGTTTCTTTAAAGTTGCAATTGCAAATTTTCAAGTTATTTTTTTAAAATGTATTAAAATAAAGCCTTAAAATAGATGGCCATAAACAGTCCTACCTTGTTAAAGAATAATCCTATAATTCGCTATTGCCAGCTGAGAAATTGGCAAAAATATCATTGTTTAACTTCAAATTCCAACGTTGGAAAATGGCTGCCCCATGTTGTCAATAGCAAAACAGGGGAGGTCATTGTGTTGTTATTTCCTGTATCATACATTTTTAAGGGTGGGAAATAATGCCCATGATCGTATAATAGGAATTTGATAACCTATTGAGCAAAAGACATAGAAATAATTATGTTTTGACTTTATTAGAAAATTTGAAATTCTCGCTTTAATTTGTCGTTTGTGAATCAGCCATTACTAATTACTTCAACATTGTCTTCTGGGTTTGTTCAATACAAATGGGGCTCGAAACCATTATGATATCATTTGCTAGCAAAAACCAGACTTGTTTACAAAACAAACAGATACTTGCATAAAAAAACATTAGTAAACAATTTAAAGAATATACATAGTTAAAGCAATTTAATATTAACATATAAAACATATGTAAAATTTAAAAAAAAAAAAGATCTAGTCAATATGTCATTATATATAACAGTTAAATCGTTGCTAGGAAACACAAAAACAACCGAGAACAGGCCCCAAGTTCAAAAAGCCTTCTTAGACTTAAATTGAGAATTTACTCAACTTTCAATCACTGCTTATAAGAAATATTTTGGTTCCAGAAACACAACACTTTGCACATAGTTTCTTATTGATGTATTTGATACATTGAAACAACACAAGTTTTATAAAGGGCTTTATATTAGTTAATATAATGCGAACAATTTTGAGTAAATTCTTAACTTAAGTCTGAGAAAGCTTTGTGACCTCGGGTCCAGCTCTTTTTAAAAATCAGTCTAAAACAACTGTATATCACAATTCTACTTTTGCAAACACAAAATCGGTCTGGAGTTCGTATAAAGAAGCGCCCATTGCTGTTAACAATCAGCCTAAAACGATTTGTAAAACTTAGTTTTAAACAACTTTATCATATTTAATCGTCGCTAACAAATGTCGGTCATATTATTATAACAAAATACAAGATCTAGATGTTGTCCTCTTTGGTTCCGGCGATGCGGGGGTTGTGGGGTTTAGGCGTGTTTCGGGCGCTGCTTTGGTTGATTCTGTTTTCTTTGGAGGCGATACTTGCTGTCGGGGCTCACCTTTTGGTTCCGGTAACCTTGGTTTGTTGTCGTGTACTTTAAGTTTGGTTTTATCGTCTTTCTCGATTTTTTTATCAGCAGATTGGATTTTATCTTCGATCTCGATTTGTTTATCAACGGGTTTGGTTTTATTCTCGATTTGTTTATCAGCGGGTTTGGTTTTATTCTCGTTCTCGATTTGTTTATCAGCGGGTTTGATTCTATCATGGTTATTTTGATTAGGCGGGGTGTAACGTTTGACGCTTGTCTGAACGGGTTTTGTCACAGAACTGGCTTTGGATGATTTGACAAAACTTGACGGAACTGTTTTGGTAACATCGGTTTTTTGCGTTTCCGACTGCATGTCATTTTTTGGAATTAATTTTCGGTTTTTATTGACCTTTTTCTCAGATTCATTCACACCTTCGTCAACAGACGGCAGGATCTCTCGAATCTTAGATCTCAACTCCTCAAATTTCGGACCCGACCATTTTTCCTGAACATCAGGATCCGAATGAAAATCAATGTATAAGAGTTCTGTAAACGCCATGCTCATTGGACCTCTAGGTGGCCACGCGGTATTTTCTAATAGAATGGGTATAATTGGACGTTTTAGCGCATCGCATAAACTAACTTCTCGTCGACAGTTGGCTGAAAGTGAATATTTTTCTGTGATACAAGATACGACGATCTTACATCCTCGTATACCACGATCTATTTTATCATAGAGAGAATCACCACCACCCATCTGATATATATCCATCCAACACTGATATCCTAACTCTGTTAATCTTTTATACAACAACATAATATTCTTTTGTTTACCCCATTGATAAGATATAAATACATCCGGGGATTTATCAACCTGGAATGGAAATAAAAAACAATTTTAAACATGAGCTCGGAGTTCCTGGTATCTGCAAAAATGACTATAAAACTACCCCACTTTGCAAAGATGCAACGGAAATATCAATCCTAGTTTTATTCCCATTATAACCTATTCACGGCAAAATGACGATACCCAAATAGAAGACGGTATTCGCCAGGCATTGTCCCCGGCTCCTATTTCCATTTCCATTTCCATCTGGGGGGGGGGGGGGGGTGATGGCCGAATGGTTAGCGTGCTGTATCATAACGTCTGTCATTGGTTTTGATTCCCCGTGGGTTTCCTCCGGGTCCATCGGTTTCCTTCCACTGCTAAAGACCCCTATGCGCAAACAATTTATTGAAATAAAATCGAACCATGTGTTAGTCCCTAGTGTGTCGAGTGGATTTTAAACGCTCTCTCTCGTGGGTTTCCTCCGGGTCCACCGGTTTCCTTCCACTGCTAAAGACCCCTACGCGCAAGCAATTTATTGAAATAAAATCGAACCATGTGTTAGTACCTAGTGTGTCGAGTGGATTTTAAACGCCATAAACAGATGCTGTACAATGACTGCGAATGCATACCATCAATCAATAAACTCACATGTTCATTATCGGTTGTGGTTGATTTATTTTCGTTATTTTGATCTTTTCCTCCGTCATTGGTTTTAGATTTTTCTATTTTAATTTCCTCCACTAAAGGCATCCACCATTTTTTATACACTGAATTCATAAAAAACAACAAAACTTAAAAAGAGTTTATTATTCTTGAAATCATTAAACTAAAATAAACTTGTTAGATTTGAATAATTAAACTAATAGATGAATATTATTACTTTACAAATCAGTACAGTGTATCTGGTAAAGAATGACGTCACAAGTCGTTTGACGTATATTAAATCCGTTATTTGCCCAATAGTCCATCAGTTTATTTCATTACCTTAATTATAAGGAACTTACTTTTATGAACTTTGGATTCATCCGGCACTACGCCGTTCATACTCAACTGCATCAACAATTCCTGAAACTTGGGTACTGGCCAGAATCGTTCATCATTCGTCTCTTCTTCTTTCTTTCTTTGGTAGAACATTCTAAACAGATATTCACTGAAGATAGGTCCCATCGACCCTGTTGGTGGCCACGGACAACTGTCAAATTTTAATGGTATGATTGATTTCTTTAAAGTCACAGCCAGATTCACCTAAAATATTAAATGAAATGAGGTTTAACGTCCTACTGTTCTGCGCCGAACTGGGCTAATGAAGACGGGCATACAGTGTGCAATGTGGAATATTTTGCCGGAACAGCGGTGCCACGGCCTACTCTTATATCGAATTCTAATTGTCAAGGAGTGGTTCGTTTACATGTACGCCAATGAGCGCGCGGGACTCTGTTTTCCGTCCCATCCGAATGACTATACGTTGTACTCACTGAGCCATCTCGGCCCCCATTGCACGTCTGATCTCTGGGTGCTTTGGTTCTAATGTCCCTGCCAATGAGACACAGCCGACATGACACACTGTCCGGTCAATCCAAATTCATTTCCTTACCTCTCGATTACAGTTCGGTGATTTGGCATATTTTTCGGTCGTACAGCTGATAATAACTTTAGCAGCTCGGATGCCTTGATCAATCTTTTCAAATAGTTTATCACCTCCTCCCATTTGTCCAATATCCATCCAACAATCATAGCCAGCCATTTCTAGATGCTGACGTAATAGTTTGACCTCTTGTTGGTGACCCCATTGATAACTCAGAAATATCGGAGGTGGGGTGGAATATTCAAATTCGTCATGTTCAACAACTTGTTCTATAAAACATACATATATCAACCCTATTAAAGGACAATAATATATATTGGTGTCAGTCATTATCACATATGTGATAGAACTGATTAAACACTTTCAAATATAATTTTAACACAGAGATCATTGCTACGATACATGCGTACTAAAGATTTCAACAATCGGAAGTGACGAACGCAAAAGGAAACACGAGTTATCCCTCTGTATAACTGACTGAAGTGGCGAGTGATAACAGATGCATGGGTGGATTTCTGCTTACTAAAAGACCAAAAGTTGTTGTGTGACATAGGTGTGTAAAGGGTAGCAAAGTATACATTTAAAAAAACAAAAAATCTCACCAGCAGCTTTCATAGCATTTTCTACAATAACAGCAGCATCAAGTCGATTGATTTCTTGTAGAGCTGTAAAAACACCAAATGTGGCTTCACTTGTTTTATGAGTGGCATACCATTCATTTAACATGACCATACAGGGATCAGTTTGTTGATTCCAACCTCTAATATCATCATTACTATAACCTAATCTACTAGATAATAATCTCCAATCAGCTTCTGTTTTAGGGTTCAATAGTTTACAAACATCCCTTGACCAGTAGGGGGCGTGGCTTAAAGTCTGAAATAACCAATAATAACTAAGAATACAGCACGATTTATTCAAAGTAAGACATTCTTTGTGAACAAGACTTAAATTTTCAACATTTAAAACAGATAAACAATGTATATTAGAATTCACAAAATACATGGACAATATTTATGGAATTAATATATAAGTTTTATGGAACAGTAGCTGTGATTTTATGATTTTATAATAAAAAAAAGTAAAACACTGTGTGAATTGTCAGCCAATATTACAAATATCCAGGTTCAATAAATATAATCAATTTATCTACGAATCCAGGGCTACCTTTTGGTCAATTTCTTCAACTTTTTGTACCGTTTCGTCCACCACTTCACCAAGTTGGTTTATTCTATTTCCCTGGTCGTCTACATCATATCTTATTTCTGTAATCTGCTCGATGTGACGTCCAACTTCCTCCGTAACTTGGTTGATGTTATTCTCGTTAGTTGTAACTCGTGTATCTAGATTACATATCTCATCTTGTTGTTGATCAATATCATCAGCTAATGTTTCTAAACTAAAACAACGTCATGCAATACTACAAGATTCATATCAGCAATTAATTTTCTAAACATACACAAGCCAAGGACAATAATGTCCATTTACTTCCCTGCTATTAGACCTCGGGGGTGAGACTACTAGTTGTTCTCTCCCATTAATTTCTACCTTTCAGTAAATCTATAATAGTGATAAGTATCTGAATTACATCACTTACCTTCTACCATCTAGTAAATCTATAATAGTGATAAGTATCTGAATTACATCACTTACATTCTACCTTCCAGTAAATCTATAATAGTGATAATTATATCTGAATTACATCACTTACCTTCTACCATCCAGTAAATCTATAATTGCTTTAGTTTGATCCTTGAAATTTTGGTCTGACCCTTGTTTACTTAGTTTCTCTATAAATTGTCGATGTTTCTCTATTAAACTTCTATGTGGTAAAACCATTCCCCTTATTTCAAGAACTATTGTCACCTTCTTAGAGGAAGACGCACTGCCTTTTAAAAATTTCAAGAAAAAATTCAGAATTCTTTCTGCTACTTTCTGCAATTTATAATGAAATTAAAATAATGACATTAAATAGGCGACATCTGGTAGAAGGGATGAGGTATACTAAAACATAGTACATACATTCCCGGGCCTCTTATTTATGGAGAAATCCATACTCATCGTGCCACCATTACCTCACTATTACCTATGGTCAACATGGCCACGCCTACAAAGTGTATGGCTCTAATCAACTTGACTAAGGGGAGATAAATCTGCTTCAAAAATCCTCTTAAATTCTCTATATCTATACTATTGATATGTCTTTAAATGGGCAGTGGTATATAATTATTATTCCTCACCTGATCATATTTGGTCGCTAAAATACCAAGAACTTTAAATAGATAATAATAGACATATTCATTGTATGGCCGTCCGAGGAATTTAGGAATCTGTTTCTTGAATAACGACGGTCGTTTATATGCCAGGGTTTCAAGTGACATTAAAAACAGAGATTGGTGAGTTGGTTCAAAATTATATATAACTTCAATGTACATCTCTATATTATCTTCTGTAAATAACTGAAATACAAGTTATTACTGAGTAGACAGCATACTGCCATGTTACTAGCACAAGGCGATATTTCGGATTAGCAAGCTACTACATCAAGCCCGGAAAAAAAGTACATGCCACAGATATTGTCAAGCAGTAAACTATCTGTATTTTCTACTATTATTATTATACTAAATGTTGAAGATTTTAAGAGATCAGTTACTAGATCAGTAGTGTTTGACATTTGCAGACCTATAAAAACAATTCGAGGTAGGCTAAATATCAAAGCAGAACTTCTCAAGGATATGGGACCAGATTTCCAGTGCATTCGTTACTACGACTTGATGCAGTCGCAATATCTCTGCTACCGTGTCCCGAAGTGCAATAAACTAAAAGAGTCCAGCGGCTCACGGGAGGGTCGGGGGAGTATCGCCCCACCTGAGAAGAGAATTTATGAAACCATATACTTCTGGAACAGCTTTTTGCGTCGATGATTTAGATTCTGGGGCTTGACAAGACGCATGGGGGCCTGGGGGGGGGGGGTGTAATCTTCCAAGATAAGGAGTAGGGTCTAATGAGGTGGAAATATGATACTCGTGATATAAATGATAATCATTCTTATAAATTAACAATCAGCCTGACCTTAGGTTATAACCACCCCCGACCCCCCCCCCCTACCTCCAAAATAAAAAAAAACGAACTAAAACAAAAAAAAAACCCCAAAAAACGGAAATTTACCTCAGGTTGGTTTTTGGCCACATGTGGTATTATTTGTACTAAATAAGTTACCACGCTACGATCTGATGATTCGATATACTTAAATAATCGCTGAAAATAATCTTTCATTGTTTTCGGGTTCTCTTGTGCTGGAAAGCACAACAATCAGACTTAATATGCTCATAGGGGGCGGGGGGGGGGGCATGTTGATGGGCTGAGATTATAAGTTTTACAATGTTAGTGTTATCAGATTTTTTGGCTTGTTAGTTTCAAGGTGATTGTTTCCATTGTGTGTGGTGCGGTCCCCAACATATTCTATTAGAGTCGGAGTAGAATATAACAGAAACAGGAATGAAAACCAGGTAACAACAAGGTACCAGATCTGATATCAAAAACGAGGTACCACGTTCGGTTTTTGATTAGGGGGCTGGATGGCCGAATGGTTACCACGTGCGCGCTGTATCATAAGGTCTGTCATTGAGTCAACTGGCGTGGTTTCGATTTCCCGGTTGTACGTGACAAGGAGTAGGGTCGCCTGTCCAACTTAGTGGGTTTTCTCCGGGTCTTCCGGTATCCTCCCACTGCTAAAGACCCCTACGTGCAATCGAATTATTGAAATAAAATTGAACCATATGTTAGTCCCGAAATGACTTAGTTTGTGTTGAGTGGACGTTAAACCCCATTTCTCTCTCTCTCTAGTTTGTGTCAAGTGGACGTTACACCTATCTCTCACCCCCCTCTCTTTCTCTCTCTCTCTCTCTCTCTCTCTCTCTCTCTCTCTCTCTCTCTCTCTGTGTTAAACAGTGTTGACTGTAAAATACTTACATAAAATGTCAGCTTTTCTATTTTCGAAGAACGCATCTAATAGCTTATCAAGATAAGGTGCGAATATTGGGGCGGCTTTAGCCCCTAAATTTTGGAAAGCATAACCAGCATGAAAACAAATATTTTTGTTCTTCTGTTTTAAAATATCTATAAATCGTTCGATTATTTTCTTTTCCTTGGCTAAATGACCGGTATCCAATAACTGTAAAAAGAATAATAAATAGGTATTACATTACTTACAACTGTGTACTACATCGTTAATTAATACCACATCGTTAAACAGGTTATACCATATCGTTAAACAATAACTACCATATCGTTCAACAAGTTATACCATATCGTTAAACAAGTAATACCGTATCGTTTAACAATTAATATCACAATTTATACCCCATCGTTTACACAACTACGACGCGATAATAAATGTCGTGTCGTTTTTATCCCCACCATACCAATTATATCCAAATAATAATAAATTATACCAATAATATCGAAATACTAGTAAATCATACCAATTATATCCAAATACTAGTAAATCATACCAATTATATCCAAATAATAGTAAACCATACCAATTATATCCAAATAATAGTAAATCACACCAATTATATCCAAATACTAGTAAATCATACCAATTATATCCAAATACTAGTAAATTATACCAATTATATCCAAATACTAGTAAATTATACCAATTATATCCAAATACTAGTAAATTTTACCAATTATATCCAAATACCGAACTGATTATATCCAAATATCAGCACTAGTAATCGACTAAATCAAAGACATTATGAACCTTTGCCCTTTAACAGAAGCTTTCAATGACAGGAGAAATAATGCCGGACAGTCTTGCAAATCTAATGCCAGGTTTCCACTATCACGATTTGCGCTACGATTGAAATCGTGGTTTTAATCGTGGAGTAATCGTGGTGATCCTATCAGGTCTTATCATATATTGTGGCCAGTCGTAGCAATCGTGTTGAGCGTGTCGAAACGTATCAAAACGTATTAAAACGTATCTGCATGTACCAGATCGTGGACTCAATAGAGATAATCCTATCGCAACGAACCATGCGACAGTGGGGACCATGCATTAGGTTTTTACGTTCGCTACAAGGTTCGCAGACAAATTCTAGATCTGAGCGGACTCATTAGGAATAATCCTATCGTAACGCATCGCACGACATTGGGAACCTACCATTATTGTGATACACATCAAAGGAACAACTTACCAATTTCATCAAGTTATCGGATAATGAGACGAAGAAATCATAATGCACTCCAAAAGGTTCATTTGTCTCAGGATCTATAAAATCTTGTTGAAAATTGGTCAGAGTTATCGACGCTAAAATATTCAATTCCTTCTCACTGAATTGTCTTTCTCCCCTAGAAATGGTTAATTAAGATTGTGTGAGAGAGACAGATAAATGGGGTTTAAGGTCCACTCGACACAAACTAGATCATTTCGGGACTTACATATGGTTTAATTTTATTTCAATGATTCTCTTGCGAGTAGCGGTCTTTAGCAGTGGGAGGAAATCGGAGGACCCGGAGAAAATCCACGAGGTTGGACAGGCGACCCTACTCCTTGTCACGTACAACCGGGGAATCGAAACCACGCCAGTTAAGTCAATGACAGGCTTTAGAATGAGATTGTACCGGCTGTCTTAATTCAGCATTTGAATAAAAGGTTTATTTCATGGCTGGATGGCGGAATGGTTAACGCGTGAGCGTTGTATCATAAGGTCTGTCATTGAGTCAACTGGCGTGGTTTCGACTCCCGAGTTGTACATGACAAGGAGTAGTGTTGCCTGTACAACCTCGTGGGTTTTCTTCTGGTTACTCGGGTTCCGCTCGCTGCGCTGCTAATGACCCCTATGCGCAAGCGAATTATTGAAATAAAAAATTGAACTATATGTTAGTCCCGAAATGGCCTGGTTTGTGTCGAGTGGACGTTACGTTAAACCCCATCTCTCTCTATCTGATCCGATTATGAAATGAAATGGGGTTTAACGACCTACTGTTCTGCATCGACTGGGCTAATGAAGAAGGGAACACGCCATTCAGGTTTCTATGAGGGAAATGTTGCCCGGACAGCGGCACTGCGACTTTTTCTTATGTCGAATTGCAACTACTAAGGGTTCTTTTACGTGCTCGTAATGTGTAAATGGAATCTCGTTTTTTTGTCCCATCCGAACGACTATACGTTTTCCCTTGCCAGGCCCTCTGATAAGGTAGAACCACCCAGATCAACTTCCTCGATCAACACAGAAATGTAACCCAAACCTTCAGGTTAGAGAGCCAGCTTCTAGCCACTAAAGCCACCGCGGCATCGAGGATATATAAAAACATACTTACCCAATAGTTTTCATGAAATGTTCTGAAAGTCTTGTTATAACTTGTCCCGGTTGGCGATTCTCCTATGGAAAATCTTCCGTTTTCATGATGGCCTCAATTCTCATCAGCGAATCAAATATTAACTGGCGATGTTCCTAGAATTAAGATTTAGGTTCAAAGGTGATCAATTCGAAATTTAAAACTTATACAGGGACAAATATGATATTTGACTAATCTAACCGTTTAGCTTACGTGACTATTTCAAAGCGCATTTCAAAGCGACCCCTCCCCCTTCCTCCTATTTAAGAAATTCCGGAAGTGTAACCATGGTACTTGGTCGTCAAGGCTAAACTGTTAATAAATTCAAACTGTTCTAAGAACGACTTGATGATGTTGAAGTCGTCGCGGTCCGTTGCTGGTAAGTTGGATGGTACTTTGTGAATTTTAATAGCAACACAATTCGGGGTCATTAGCAAAACGATTGAAACCGTCCTGGTCGCTAGCAGCAATCAGTTATAGCTTACGTGACTATTTCAAAGCGTATTTCAAAGCGACCCCCCCCCCCTTCCTCCTATTTAAGAAATTCCGGAAGTGTAACCATGGTACTTGGTCGTCAAGGCTAAACTGTTAATAAATTCAAACTGTTCTAACAACGACTTGATGATGTTGAAGTCGTCGCGGCCCGTTGCTGGTAAGTTGGATGGTACTTTGTGAATTTTAATAGCAACACAATTCGGGGTCATTAGCAAAACGATTGAAACCGTCCTGGTCGCTAGCACCAATCAGTTATAAAATAGCGGTGTTGTTTTACCACAAACAATAGTTTATTCAGGATAGCTGAATATTGTTACATAATGGCAGATGTTATGGATAGTTATTATTTTCATTATTTTAATGTATCAAATAAGAAACTATGTGCAAAGTTGCGTGTTTCGGGATCAAAGATATTTTTCATAAACACTGATTCAAAGTTGAGTAAATTCTTAACTAAGAATTCTGACGTCATTTTAGAGAAGCCCCCCCCCCCCACCACCAGTCTTTACCAAGAAGCTTAATATGCGCCATTAATTAATAAAACTTCTAGGTCTTTCCACCTTACCTTTAAATTAATTTTATCAGTTTCATCTAAAGCCGTGAGAG